TTTTATATAAACAGATATAAGTTATAGAAAAAATCAACAATAATACATTTTTTATTATTATTAAACGTATAAACATCGGCTACTGGGCCATTAGTTGTGCAGATTACATTTTATTTTATTTTTTATATAYATACTTAACATTTAATAAAGGCTTAAATAAATTAAGTTATATAATTTGATTTCCTTTAAGAAGTTAATATATTTATTATGCAATAAAATTATAAAAACGTATTTAGATTTTTCCAAATTATATCTTTAGACTAAATATGATCACATTTAAAAAAAATATATATTCACGTCTATAAGTGCAATATTGACTTAAAGATATGAGATATAACGTGTAATCATTCAAATAACGGTAAAAAAGCGAAGATTTGCATTTTAGATGTATTTATTTTTTAATTTTAAAAAATAACAATATTCTTATATTATTAACTTTCAATATACCTACCAATTTCAAAAAAAAAAAAAAAAGTTTTACTAAAATATCAACTTAATATTTTAGATTCTGAGCGGAGCGAAGAACGTATTGATTTTACTATGATGTGTGTGCTTTTTTTTAAAGTGAATCTAGTTGGTACCTTGGGTGGTCAAAAGTAAAAAATTCTCAATATTTTTCTGAATATTCGGGATAAACAAACTAAAAATTAAGGAAAAAACGGGAATTTTTACGCACAATCAATTTTCGGCAAAATCGATTTTGGTTTTGATGTAACTTTAAAAAAAAATAGATGAATTTTCACCAAATGTTTATATAAGTATTTTCTATCTACCATGCGATTTTCAAAAAAATTCGACTTATGTTGAACTATTTATAGGAATATTCGTTTTTTTTAAATTAATATCGATAAAAATATATTTATTGGGTATAAAAGCTTGAAAATTTAATTMAAAACACATTACATATTGTTACGATTGCTGTTGAAAAATATTATAAATACATAGGCACGATTTTTTTTATAAACATTTAAAGTTCTAATTTTGACTAAATACGTAAARACGACAATGTTCAAATTATCTTAGATAGAAATTCATAAAAAATGTTCTTTTTAAATCTAAGATTTGAAAATTTAATACAAGGCTCCTAACATGGTRTTACAATAGCAGTTGTAAAATAAAATAAATATATTGTCACAGTTTTTTTTTACAAACATTCAAAGTTTGAATTTTGACAACCTACGTAAAAATCACGAAAATTCGCAAATTTTTTTAATCTAGAAATTCATAAAAATGTTCCTTTTTAAATCTAAGATTTGAAATTTTTAATAATCTATAATAATATATCCTAGACAGATAAACCGTTCCCGCTCAGAATCGTTTTTCGTATACAATGATTTAATGTCATTGGATTCAAATTTAATTTCATCCATTACAGTAACCCACTTGTAACCTACTGTACAGCAGAGCGACATCTACGACTTATCCGCTTTATATATATATATATATGGTAAGTAGGTTGTACATTTTTTTTGTATAAAAAAAAAAGAGTAATTTTGTTCAATCTGTTATAATATTGAAGTGTTATAATGAAAAACTCGAAAAGATCCAATATTAAGCTTTTAATTAATTTAAACAATTCATTTGTTAYGTGTCAGTTCTATACTTTTTTGTCAGTGGACACAAAACACGTGATATACTTAATGGACGATATAAGAACCTAACTATTTATTAATYTTTAAACGTATTTCCTCCGAAAAATCTAGTCTTTTCAAAATATGGTTTCTTGTATTTTATAAATTTGCATATGAAAAGTAAGTAAGAAATTGTAATTTCTGCATTGGTATCATTATCATTTAAGAGTTTTGTTTTATAAAAATGGAATTCTTTAAATTGTGTTAAATTTAAATATTTACAAATTAATTCATGTGTRTATAATATATTTGTACAAAATTTTAAATTATATTTGTTACGAATAGGACTGATCGCGGCCGATCAATATTTAAATTAAGTCTTAGTAGTAATTAAATATATTAAAGACCAGAATTTAGCCATATTCAGAGATACCTAATGATTTGTAAAATTAGAAAAAATATGTCTTTCTTCTTAAGTCCTTTTAGGATTAACTATGAGATACGGTATGGACTTTTTGAACGAGTTTAGGACATTAGGTAATATTATCCAATATTGCATGTGTATTGTATACATTATATTATTATATTCTTTGAAACATTTAACTTATAACTCATAACATACATATTTGAGTAATATCATTAGGTACTTCATTTTAAATCACTTAAATACTCTAATTTTATTTTTTTACACTTATAAATTTACTTCACAATTAAATACATAATTAATTTACAAAAACACGAGTTTCTTGATAAATGTATTTTACATTTTCATATTTAATAATAAAATTTAATTTTTATTAATTTGTTTAATATAACATTTTATTATACGGATATATGTATTCCAAACGTAAATCAATTTATCGGAAAAATCAGTAATATTTTTAAAATAAAATAAATTAATGCTTTTACGTTTATTAATAATAATGAGTTTGCATCTGATCAAAATTAATTAAATTTTTTTAAACACATTACATTTCATATTTATTATTTWAACGTCATTAACACTAGTTTACTTTTGACAAAATGTTATGGTTAACGGGTTACAACCATTTATAAAATCATTTTATATTCTTTGCTATAATAATTATCAGATMAAATTAAATACAACATACAATCATAATACAATTTAAATGTATTGATAGCAATGAATAGGTACCTAAGTGTAGTTCTTTTCTACTTTAAGAATATCATATAGCTATACAATGATTWATGGCAAATAATAAATTTATATTACTGATACTTTAAACCTAATTATACTCTTCATCTTAAATGTCAAGACCAACACARTGCATCTAGGTTTTCAATCGCTTAAAGGGATAATTAATAAATGTTATTTTTTGAAACTAGGATAAATTCAGCCCAACTTAAAAATTTTTGGTATCAGAAATTAAATTATATGATAATTATGCGCGAGTTAAATAAATAAATAGAACATACTGAAAGGTTTAATAAACATATAGTCTAAATAAAATATGTCTTGTAGTATGTGAGTGTTCCATACCAGACTTTTGAATTTGATTACAAATACAATTTGAACTAATGGATACATTAATATTACGACACAAACACCAACTTTCAGAAACTTTAAATAAAACACTCGTACTTTCCAACAGAATCAGTCAATGCACTTATAAAATTTATAAATCGTAAATTATTTCCACCAACTAGTTTAGTATGATTTTAAATTATGTAAATGTTATAGTTGCATCGGCTAATTCACTAGTCCATGAAGAATGAAGACAAAAAATGCGTTTATTTAATTGTGAACTCGTAATCATTTAAACAGAAAAAAAAATGGCAAAGAATTTGTATTTTGTTAATGATTAGTTTTAATTTAATAAAAAATATGCATATTTTAGGGAATTAAGGGTGACAACCTCCCTAATTTTTACCTATATGTTTGATTATCACTTATTTTATTGGATTTTATTTTTAAAAAAATGGGATGTGTATCAAAATATATTTAAAATTTTAGATAAAATTCTCCCAAAAAATAAAATTAATACAATTTTAAACTACATATAAAATCGCTTKAAGAAGAAATTTCAAAAGATTTTATCACAATAAATAATTATTACATTAATAAATCTACGAAATTAATCTAAAAATKTCAACCATAAACTGCCAAAATTAACTTWCTAAATGTATTTGACAAAATTCTATAACAAATTATCAATTTATCACATTAAAATATTTAAACACTTCATAGAAAAAAAATGCTTAATTATATTTATATGCTGACTTTTCAATTTTGTGTCATAAATTTCCCGAATTTTATTCATTTTACAAACTATAATATTTATATAATCACATCGTAAATATTTTTTTTTTTTTWAATTCCTTCGTAAATCATCATGTTAAATGTTAATAGTATGTTATTATTTCGGTAGAAAATTAAAACTCCACTATTATTATAATAAAAACATTTCACATTTATTTTGAAAGATCAAATAAATAAGTATATAATTACAACTATGTAAGTGTTCAAATATATTTTTAAAATAAATAATTTAATTTCAAATTGATCTTCAACTTACTCTTATAAAATCTTTAAATTAGTAAAAATGTATTTGACATGTTATATAGTTGAAGTAAATTTTGGTTTTATTTTAATATTATGAAGTAATTAATCATACTCCTACAGTCATATTTCATAGAAAGAACGCACCTATGAATTTTAAAAAAAAGTTTAAATTTATGGACAAATTATTGTTGAAGTTACTAATTGTTATATACATTTTTAATTCACTTGTAAGACATCTTAATCTAAATTAAATTAAAGTTTTATGCACATACCTATTTACAACTAAAATAATATTTATACATTTTTTTTTTTAAAGTCCTTATAATATTACACCTACAATAATTTGACACGTGATTTCAAAAGTATATGGACCTTTCAAATTACGTACAACGCATTAGATTTTTGTTCAATCATATAACACAAAGGATATATACAAGTAAGAAAATGTTATTTAACAAAAGTTTCTATATAACTAAATGATTATTTATTACACATTAACCAATTATTATTWTTWTTTTTTTTTAACAAATGGTTAAAATTATAAAATTAAGATCCTTCAAACTCTAGTTTATTACAATATCTCTATACATGATAATAAGACTGAAAATTCTAGAAAAATGAATAACTGACAGATTGTCGTGTCTCTGGAGTAAGCGCATTTTTTAATAGATCCTATTTTATTGCTTTGTCATATTATAATCGAAATACATTTATACTAATAAATAAAATTCAAGCTATTTTCATGATAAAACCAATTATAGCATTACACTACCTATATAATATTATTGAGTTTTTGATTTTCAACAGACACCACCGCATTTAAAAATTACAACCATACGTTTGAATATTTGTAAAAATTCATTGCTAGTATGGCATTGATAATTGTGTAGACATATRTGACTTACCTATATCGGCTGTCGGATTTTGTCCTGAGAGAAATTAATCCGAAATAAAAAAGAAAACAAATGTAAATTAATGTTCTGAATTTCTCRAAACTCACAATGGGTTTGAAAAAAGTTTTATTTTAAATATAATGTATAATAATATATTATATGTTTTTTTAGATTCGCGTGTGATTATTGAATGAGTGGTAAAACAAAATTTCGAAAAAATTACGATACGAAAACCCGCTATACAACGAATGCGAAGACGACAACCGAGCAAAAACCGCACGCGGTGCCCGACGGTAAAACGAACTGAACTCGTCTCTCGCGCGAYCGGCCCACCCGCAAGCATACAATACCGAATTTATGAGCGCCGCCGGTAACGCGCAACTCGTCCTTGTCGACGAAAATCACACACGTGCGCCGATGCCACCGCTAAAACGAAAAATTAGGCGGCGGACCGATAACGGACTAACGGTGATCATTGTTATGCGTGAACTTAGCTGTTTTGTAATTGTTGTTTAATTGTTAAATTGTATTCAAAACTATACATAGGTATTGTTAAATCGATTGACCGTATCAAAAAAATATTCTTTTATATACATCATGTACCTAAATGAGGTGATTATTATTATTTCATAACGAATAAAATAGTTAATGGATGTTTATGGTAACGATTTATTTGATATCTAGCTAGTCCGTTTTCTACTTGTAATGACTTTTATGGTTGTACGATTCTCAAAGAACATGTCCAAATTAAGTAGAGACAACAGACTCGTACAGTTCACCTAGTGGCAAATCTTAACTAAACGGGAAAATTTCATATTTTTATCTAAAAATGTATAGTAAAAAAAAAATAAAGACTTATCAACTATAATAATTTTATTTCCATCATCAAAAACCAAACAAACAAATTATTAATACTAAAAATTTTGTTTCCTAAGGTTATTAAGTATATTACGGAATAAAAATATAAGCGATGTATTTAATTATCAATGAATATTAAACGAAATAGATTTCTATACAAAATACCGTTAAAGCCCCTTATAATATGATGATAATAATAGCAATAATTTATACCTATAGGTAATATATAAAATATATTTTATATGGTACATCATCGAGTACACGTGCTTATGAAACTAAAAACAAAGAATATTAGATAAATAAATACCAAACACGCCTTTACTATAGTAAAATGATACAAAGCGTGTTTTTGGAATTTAATGTGTCAGTGTTAGAGCAGTCGTCAAAATAATGATATTTGTAATATTATAATATAGTCCCAAATTTTGGTAAAACGAATTCGGAAATGTTTTTAAAAATATAAATACTCAAGAGACATATTACGCGTCAATAGACGTGTGCGTTTTATCATAATATTGAATTTATCTGCTACGTGAATTATTTTTATATTCCGAGTAAAAAGAATGACCGTCGAATACGCCAGCGGAATAAAATTGTCCTATTGGATATTTCAATAATATTTTTATGCACCCAGGGTGATTTACCAAACAAGCTCTCACCTCCATTTATTTTTATCCTTAAACTATGCATTTATTCAAATTTTGCTATCTTAAATATATTCACTTATGTATATATCTATATTTTGCTATGTATATATCTATATTTTGCTATGCATAAATATTATTTAAATAGATTTTTAAACCATTAGTTTCGGAGTTATTAAACAATATTTTACAGTAATACCTGCCATGATATTCCTCATGATGATTTAATAATCATTGTGATCATTTATCAATTAACGTTTTTCATTCCAAAATATTGTCGGAGTATGGAAAGTTCAAGTATTTAATTACCTACTAATTGTACTTAAAGGTCCTAGAGTCTATGACCTAGACTAAATACCTATAACATAAATCTTATGTTTATCCATGATTTCCCGAGTACATATTTTCTGAATATATTAGCATAGCCTACTTAATATCATCAGTTTATAAAGTGTAATATCGCAAAAGCCAATAGTTTGAATTTCTATTTAAATTTCTGCATCTAAGTTTTCAAAAAATTCATCATCTATTACAGTTAATAGTAAAAAATGAAGGTCTTCTTTTAACAAAATAATAGTTTGCAGTAATTCCTCTTCAACTAACATAATAAATCTGTATTATTCAAAATATGGCCAATAAGTATACTTAAAAATTGTTACATTTAATTAATCGTATACGTATAATTAATACATAATATAATTAATTAATAATTATCATGGAAACAATTAGTAAGAGCGTGCATGATAAATCACTCCATATAATTTAATATATAATATATGTATTATGGATATACAACACGTGCAATGTATTAATGATACCAAATTTTTTGGTTACACTTGCTGTCACAACAATTTTWTTCAAACGTATTGATCACGTACACGACTCAATTAAACTCAATTTAGCTGTAATAATATTATATAATTGTTACAGTATGATTTTAGATTTGTAGTAGACCWATGAATGTATTGATTTTACAATAATGTGTCAAATATTAATCCATCTTCGAATTATTGTTACTACCTATACCAACGGCGCATACATTGTATTGGGTATTTGATTTTTTCAAATAGGAACACATTTCTGAATATTCATTTGTGTTAAAAATTTATAACCACTACTATTTTCTAGAATTCCAAGCTCGTTAAGAATTTTATAATTTATTATATTTTAGAGTGAATCATTGTTGTATAAAGTACGTCTCAACGGGGGTCATGTCGTGGTCTAACCATCCCGCCACTTGACTCCGTACGAGTATTATAAGAAATATTCTTCATATGAACCTCTGGTGGAAACTATTTTTCATTTCTCTTGTTACAATTATCGTTTTTACTAAGATTATACAAACTGAGTTGGATGAAACGTTTCGGAGATACTATAAAAGAGGCGTGAACACAAAATAAAAGGCAAGGCTCTTTGCTAAAATCATTTATCTACCCTATCTTGATATATTAGTTGGAAACAATAAAAATGTATATACAATATTGTGCCATAAGTTGTCTAAACATGCCTACCCTTAATTCGTTGTGTACATAATTTATATTTKTTACGGCTGTCTGCCACCAAAATATCGCACTATAACGTACGTTTGTAGTCCCTTATCGAGTTGACCGTTATCATATATGAAGTTTCACCCACATTACCGGAAAGCARTCTTAGAATAACTACGGCGTAATACAACAGCGAATAATATATGAGAAAGGTTTTTAAAAGGCAAATAAAGGTGTTGTTCGGAAATGACCTAAAATATTTCCAAACAATATATAATTCATCAGACAGTGTACAATGAATTATATTATATAGATTATGGATGCTATTACTTATGGGTTGTACTCTGACTAATATTTTCAGTGTTCCAAATTTTCAATATTATAGTATAATAATTAATGGTTAAACGAACAACTTGAACACATATCAATTTGCACAGAAAAAATGTAAACAAATTTAATTCAATAGAGTTTAATAAGTTTTTATAAAAAACATTTACACTTACTATAGTAGTGCAGTMTTTRCATGCATTTACTTTATAAAATATGTACCTATAGCAGAATGATGTAAATAATTTTTCCCTAAATGTCTAAGTAGCTTAAGTGATTTAGGCTAAGGAACGGGCTATCTCATTGAAGGTAAAACCCCAATCATGTTCTTGAATAATTTATATTTAAGTAATTATTATTATTATATTATTAATTATAAATTATAATATTGTATTCATCTACAATGAATTGTGATTATAAAAAAATCTTTGGTCGTTTAAATAAAGATGCCATTGGCAGTTTAAAAAAAATAATTTAATTAATTATATAATTATAAGCKATGGAAAACCTAAAAAGTTCAGAAGAAGCAGGAACTGTAAAGCCCAAACACTTAAAGGGCCCACAGAAGGTAATTCATATTTTTTTGTTAAATTGTAGACGCCAACAAAATAAGAAAAGTTTAATTTTAATTTTAAAAATCTTTGTGTACAATGTACGATGAAGCCAGTTTGATGTTGTAATAATATTCACAAAGAACCATTATCGCTAAGTGGGCGAATATGATAGTACGCACCTCCTAAAACAATCATAAATGTTTTGATTTTCAAATGCAATTTTTAAGACAAAAWAATTTCGTATACAATGAAGCARTAATTGTAGTCGATACACGATTCTAGGCAGACACGGTCATACTTTATTTCAAAGAATAATTTTTTTTATTAAAAATTAGTAACATTTACAATCTGGAAATGTTTTTATATAAAAGGTAACTTAGATGAAATTTATTTTAATAATTAATATTTTATATTGTATGATACATTTTAGTATAACAATATTTTACGATTACAAAAAAACCAGAATGTATACGAGGATGGGAGGCCTATTGATTTATTTTTATAAGTTGGGCTTCAAGAGATATCACTATACCAGTGTCTTTTTTTAAACGCGGAGATTTCTTGGTATGGATTCCCTGAGACAAGTGAATTTGTGTATTTATTTAATTTATTGTCGTATCTCGTATTATGTTTAATCATTTTTAGTTATGAGAGATAAAAACTGTTTTGATCCGGTCTCATTTATTAATTTGAAAAAAAAGTACAAAATCATCAGTTTTCTTCAATATAAATTATAATTTATRGCTAATCATTTTATTTACCAAATAAAAAGAAATTATTAAGAAAAAATTAAGAAAAAATTAAGAAAAAATTTAGGTAAATAAGGAACCATTTTTTATAAAATCAAGACCATTTTTTATTTACTGAATCTAGTTTTTTTAATAGATAAAAAAATTACTATGAAATTAAAAATAAATATAGGCCATTAATCAATTTGAARCGATGCAGGACTTTTTTCAATTTAGCACAATAGTCATATTATATTGCTAAGTCAATTAGTAAATAATAGAAAAAGTTATTTTAATTATGTATTAGGTGAAACAAATAATATTACAAAAACTCAATAGTACATTACACTATTAGCAAAACTAGTTATGGCTATAATAGTATAATGTTTACATTTAGTATTTACATTTATAACATAAATGTCTACCTGCAATTGGTTATCATTCATTAAATATTTAAATATTTATAAAGAGAACAATAATAACCAAAAACTGTTTAATATGTAATTAAACCTACAATAATGATAATGATAACAGTATAAAATAATCACAATCYTGTAAAATTCAGACGTAGATACAACAATTTATTAAGCGCATAAGACATCAGTATCATATTATCTATCTTATTTAATTATATAATATACTTTTTTATGGTATCTACTCTCAATCTTAAAATATTAAATCTAAAAATGAAAACACCTATTTAA